CCTGCTGCCATGTCCTCTTCTAAATCCTGCTTGAACTTTTCTGGTAGTTCCCTATCTATGTACTGTTCTAGCCATTTCTGAATGATCTTCAGCAGTATTTTGCTTGGATGTGATATTAATTATATTGTTCAACAGTTCCTACATTCTGTTAGATCACCTTTCTTCAGAATAGGAACCAATATGTACCTGTGCCAATCTGTTGGGCACACAGCTATCCTCAAAATTTTCTGCACATCCTAGTCTGTACGTGTTAATTGAAACAAGTCAATTGGTATCCCATTGATTCCTGGGGCCTTATTTTTCACCAGTGCCTTCAATGTAGGTTCCACTTCTTGCTCACATGGTACTTCCTTACAGTTTTCAGTGTTAGTCAATTCTCTTTGTTTCAGTGACTCTATGTATTCCCTCCACCTTCTTTTGATGCTTCCTGGATCATTCAACATATTCCCTATAGTATCTTTCAATATTGTCATTTGAGGCTTAACTTTTCCCCAGTTCTCTCAGCTTGAGAAATGCAGAACAAGTTTCCCCTCTTTGTTCTCCAGTTCCAGCTCTTACACGTTCCAAAACAAGACACCTTGTTTTGTCTTCTCAAGCTGTCTTTTGAAACTTCTCTTCAGCTCTTTTACTTTGCCACATTTTCCCTTTGTTTTGGCTTCTCAACACTCTAGTGAAATTTTCAGAGTCTCCTTTGACATTCATTTCAGTTTTTTCCTTTCTCCTCGGTCTTTGAAATGACCTATTGCTTGTTTCATGGCTGATGTCCTTGATGCCATCCCATAACTCAGTGGTCTTCGAACACTGGTGTGGTGTTCAGTGCTTCAAACCTGTTTTTAAAATAACTTTTAAATTTAGATGAAACAGACTCGAGATAATCTTTTTGTTCTGTGGATTTGTTTTACATTTCTTCAGCCTCAGTTTGAATTTGCACATGAGTAATTCCTTGCTTGCTGAAACTGAGGACCTGAAGCACTTCTGTAGAATGTCAAGGACTGCAGCCTTCAGTGTGGATTGAAGCTCAACATCAAGAAAACAAAGATTCTCACTACTGGGCCAATTGGCAGCATCATGATGGATGGTGAAGAGACTGAGATTGTTAACAATTTTCATTTGCTTGGATCCACAATCAATACTCTTGGTACCAGCAGCCAGTAAATTAAAAGACAAGTTGCACTGGGAAAATTTGCTGTCAAGGACATCTCCAGAGTACTAAAGAGCAATGATGTCAGTCTGGAGACTAAGGTGAGTCTGATACAAGCCATAGTCTTCCCAGTTATGTGCTATGCATCAGAAAGCTGGACAATGACTAGGGATGAAAGAAGTAGAATTGATGAATTTGAGCTGTGGTGCTAGAGAAGAGTACTTAATATACTATGGACCACTAGAAGAACAGGCAGGTTCATCCTGGAGAGGGTGAAACCAGGCTGCTCCTCGGAGGCAAGGATTCTGAAGCTCCATCTGACATACTTTTGGCATGTTGCAAGGTGTGAGCAGTCCTTGGAGATGGACATCATGCTTGGAAGGGTGGAGGGATAGTGCAAGAGAGGAAGACCCTCGATGAGATGGATTGACTTAGTTATTGGGTTAATGGGAGTAGGTGTGTCAGAGACAAAAAGGCTGGATCAGGACAGAGCAGGAATCAGAACTGTTGTACGTAGGGTCACTATGAGTCACGGGTGACTTGACAGCACACAACAACAACAATTGATGGTCTTTTCCACAGTCAGCACCTTGCCTGATTTTGACTGGTGATAGATATTGAGCTTCTCCAACAATTCCTTTCAAAGATGTAGTCAATCTGATTTCTATACAGCCCATCAGATGTGGTCCATGTGTAAAGTCACCATTTGTGTTTTTAAAAAAGTATTTGCAGTGAATAAATAACTGAACATACAGAATTTGATCATTCTATTTCCAGCCTCAATTCTGTCACCAAGCTTATATTTTCCAACTACCATTCCTTCTTGTTTCCAACTTTTGCATTCCAGTCACCAGTTATCATTAATGCATCTTAATTGGATGTGTGGCTAATTTCAGACTGTGAGATTTGGTAAAATTTTCAATTTCCTCCTCTTTGGCTGTAGCTGTGTGAATAACAGGTGTATTAACAGTTCTTCCTTGTATGCATATGGATAACATCCTGTCACTCACAATGTTGTACTTCAGGATGAACTTGAAATTGTCTTTTTGACTATGAATGTATCACCATTGTTGCTGTTTTTCACTCCCAGCATGGTACACCATGTGGCTGTCTGATTCCAAGTGGTCAGTGCCAGTCCATTTTATCTAATGCTTAGAATGTCAATGTTTATGCATTCCATTTAATTTCTCATTTTCTAACATTCATACTTCATACATTCCATGACCCAGCTGATTCTCCTCATTTTGATTGACTTCCAATCTGGGCTCTATCTCTAATACACTATTTGTTTTCCTCAAGTGTAGACAGGGTTTTCAGAGGCTCGTTATTTAAGAAGTGGATGTCAATCTTGTTTCCTAGCCTGTCTTAACCTGGGAGCTCTACTGAAACCTATCCTCCACAGGTAACCCTTGTGGCGTCTGACACATCAGTGGTGTAGTTTGCAGCATCACTCAACCCACAAGTTACCGCAGTTCAGCAAACTGACAGATAAGTACTGCACCAATCAGAACAACGTAGTCACCAAACACAACAAACTTTACTTTTGTACCTCTAATATTTATCTAATTTTAATTTAATATTACATTAACAGTAGATATTAATAAGACACTAGTATTTAATATATTAAGATACTCATTTTAATATATTTATCTAACATGCACAAACTTTAAATTTTAGTTTTGTACCTCTGATAGCAAATCAGGAATATCACTAGCATGTTACCCGACCCAATTGAAGCCTGCATAGATGTGGCCAGATGTGTTCCGGGAAGGTGCTGACGTCTTCTGGCTGAGACTCAGCGCTGGCACGCTGGGGTCGTTGCCCACATGTGGATATTAAGCTTACATGGAGTTTCCACTAAGCCTTTGCTGCGACTTCTTCACACAAGGGGGCACTTTCCTTCCAGGTCCCAACTGTTTCAGAAGAGAGGCTTCCAGCCCCAGCCGACTGTTAATTGGAAAGGTCTGCCTTCTGGGTCACAACTGTTTCAAACAATCACTGAATCCACAGGCAGCATCAGGTGGCTGAAGAAAGGATTGCTTTCACTTGGTCCACAATCAACACCCGTGGAAACCGCAGTCAAGAAATGAAGTTCTGCTTTGATGAAATGTGCTGTTAAGGCCTTTTTAAAGACCTTTGAGTGCAAAGCCGTCATTTGGAAGATTCTCCTGTGCCTGACGGAAGCCATGACATTGCAGCGGCTTCCTACACATCCGGCAGTTGGCTAACAGTAAGGACGGGCGAAGAATTGATGCCTTGGAACTGTGATATTGGCAAAAAGTATTAAATACCCTGCGGACTGCCAGAACAACAACAACAACAAACCAAACCAAAAAAACCCAGAACACTTGTCTTGGAGAAAGTACTACCAAGGTGCTCCTTAGAGAAAAGGGTGGTGAAACTGTCCCACATGCTCTGGCAGCTGTCAGCAGCGGCCAGTCCTTGGACAAGGACCTCATGGTTGGAGAGGCAGAGGGTCAGGAAAGAGAGAAAGCCCCTCAGCTAGACAGGTGGGCTCAGCAGTTGTGAGGACGGCGCCGTACAGGGCAAGGTTCAATTTACTTGTTAGGAGACACAGTCGACTTAACTGCACCAATTCCATCCAGAACTCCAGGAATGGGACTGTGGGACCCACAGCCACCCTGTAAGGGGGACCTCCAGTACAGAACACTGAGACAGAGCTCCCACTCAGGTGTAGCGTTCACCGCCTCCACGGTGTCAGACGCCCAGGAAAGGCCCAAAGTGGGGAGGAAGCTAAGGAGCCTAGGGAGGGTGGGGGTGGGTGCGCACTGGACGAGGAGCGCGCGGCGGGAGGGGAGGACAGAGACCGGAGGAGGAGCTGGACCGGGCGTAGGACCAGGCCAGACGCGCAGGGGTGAGCGGCCAGGTAGTGGCGATCCTAGGCCGTGGGGTCCCACCGGCGGGACTCCCTCGTGGGCAAGAGGGGCAGGGAGGCTCGAATGCAAGGCGCGAGCGCTCCGCGTCGGGCTCCCCCGCCCCTCTCCCACAAGGGCGCGCACAGGTGGGCGCGGCAGGCGCAGGTGCGCGTGGGGCGCGGGCCGGGCGAGCACCCAGCTTTGTTCCGTGAGCTCCCGCGAGCCACGCGCCGGGCGCACGCGCTTCCTCGGGGGACTAGGCGGGGCAGCCGCTGGGAAGGGCGGAGCCTTCAGTCTGCGATTGGCTGAGCCAGAGGGCCCCACCCCTCGGTCTCAGGGGGCGGGCCCGGCGGGAGGTGGAGGTGCGGCGCGTGCTGCCCGAGTATCGCGTGGCTCCGCCCTCCCCCAGGGCGCGCGCTGCGCGTGCGGGACGTAAACGTCTGGAGGACCGCGGGCTGCGCGAGGAGGGACGGGTGGTGCGGGGGCGCAGGTGGCACCTGCGGACGGGGAGGCGGGCGGGCGTACGGGGCACCTGCGAACAGTGCCTGGTGGGGCGCCCTGAGCAGCCGCTGGGGAAGGAGGCGGCGGGACTCGCACCTGTGCCTGGTGGGCGCTCCAGGGAGGCGCGCGCACGGTCCGGGCTTGGCGGCTTGAGCGCGAAGGGGAGGGCGAAGCGTGCGGAGGGCGAGGCGAGCAAGGAGGGCGTGAGAAGGAGGCGGTGGCCGCGCGGAGGAGGGTTATCTATACGTTTAAAACCGGCCGCACTGGGAGGACCAAGCAGCGTCCAGTCGCACGCGCGGGACACGAGCGCCTCACGCTCCCCGGCGCGCACAGCCCGCCACCCCGGCCACTCGGCGACGTGTCCAGGGTGTCGTTTGGTGGCTCGGTGCTGGAGCCCCTGGGGCGCACCCCTCCTCGTGCTGCCCCTGTCTACTCCTTGCTGAGGGGATCCGTGCAGGCGCCTGCGGGTGGATGCGGGCGCAATGGACGGCGGCGCGTTGTCCCGGCCCGCGCCCCTCGCGACCAGCGTCCCAGGCAACCGCTGCGCTCGGCAGCGGTCCGCGTCCCCTGAGCTGCTGCGCTGCCGCCGCCGGCGGCCAGGCTCGCGAGAGGACACCGGGAGCTGTGCGGCGGCCGTGGCGCGGCGCAACGAGCGCGAGCGCAACCGCGTGAAGCTGGTCAACTTGGGCTTCCAGGCGTTGCGGCAGCACGTGCCGCACGGCGGCGCCAGCAAGAAGCTGAGCAAGGTGGAGACCCTGCGCTCGGCCGTGGAATACATCCGCGCGTTGCAGCGCCTGCTGGCCGAGCACGACGCCGTGCGCGCTGCGCTGGCGGGGGGGCTGCTGGCCCCGGTTGCAAGACCTCTCGCGCTCCGTGCGCCGCCGGAGACCCCGGCGGCAGCTGCAGCCTCCCCCTCCGACTCTTCTTCGTCCCCGGGCCGCGGAGGTAGCTCCGAGCCGGGCTCCCCGCGCTCTGCGTGCTCCTCGGACGACAGCGGCTGCGAGGGCGCACTGAGCTCCGCCGAGCGCGAACTGCTGGAATTCTCCAGCTGGTTAGGGGGCTACTGAGCGTCCCTGCCCCTCGTACCCGAGGTAACGCAGCAGATGTGGGTCAAAGCAGAAGGGTCAAAGGCAGGGACGGCGGGGCGGAGAGCAGAGGTCAGGCCCCTGGAAAGCTCGTGAAGCCGTGCGCCAGAGGCGACTGCTCTGATTTCGCACACTGATCCCTTTTCCCCAAACCTTTTCAAGCCTGTGCAAGACCGCGTTTGTTTGTCCGCGATTGCAAAACTTCCCCTCGCTGCTCCACGCCGCTGAGGAGGGGGAGAAGGAGTGGTGAGGCGGAACGGAACGGGCCGGGCCAGCCCCGGGGCGGGTGAGGCTGCAGTGAATGCGGATCCCCCTGCAGATTAAGGCGCTGAAGGCGGGGTGACTTTGCATTGCAAATCACGCGCCCGGCCCGAGAGGCAGAAATGAGTGATCGGGTGCAGCCCTGACTCAGCCGGGCTCAGAGGCGCGCGCCCCACCCAGTCTCGGGCTTTAGACAGAGGCCAGAGCGCCCGCTAACCCAAACTCCAGACTTCTCTGGTGAAAAGTGGAGGCAGGGCCTGGCTGCCTCGAAGGTCTGGGCGGAGGCTTCCCCGGCCTATGTTAACTCCCGGTCTTCTCTCCCTGCAGCCCAGGACGCTAACGGCGGGTAGCCTTTCAGAAACCAGCTGGGTGGACAGACCCGCTGCGCCCTCCACATCGCCGGCCGGGATCCCGGACCGTCCGAGGGCGATTGTGAACTGGGCTATCTGCAGGCCCCAATTCTGGCCTGCAGCCTTCTCTGTGCTCTCCTCGCTGAGAATGTGGTGAAGAAGGACGCCACCTGAGAATTCAGGGAAAGGTTTTATACGGACAAGAATCTCTTTTCAGGGACCAGCTTCCCCTGCCTGAGTGGCCCCGCTGGCAGTGTAGAGGAAGACTACTGTAAAAAAGCTCCGCAGACTTGAGACGCAATAAACATGATCTGCTCCCCTTGTCGGGAATGGCCAGACCTGGGAAGGCCCTCCACTGAGCGACTGGAAGGGGTTGTCTCCCTGCGGGTGCCGCTTCCCTCAAGTGAAGGCTGCTTCCTCGTGCTGCTTGGCCGCCCCAACTGTGCCATGAGAAATGGCTGTTTGGGAAAAGTGGACGTTATAAATAAATCACTTCTATTTATGAGTGGCGTCTGCTCTTGTTCCATATGTGCCCTGACCTCCCATTGTCCAGGTGAGGGGCAGGCTGGTGCAGAAGTGACCACGCACTGGGGGTGGGACGAGGTCACCCTCTGAGGTCACCCTCCTTGGCTCTTGTCTTTTCCGCTGGAGGGTGGGCTCAGTCTCTGAGAGCAGAATCATGTGAGGCTGGAGGCTGCAGGTCAGAGTGTGGTGGCAGTGGTCACCTGGCCATCCTCCATCTCAGGGCCTTTGGGGCTAGGCTGCCAGGGTTCACCCTGCCACCTCCCCCGTGTCCAGGTCTGTTAACAAGGACTAGTTGGTTGACATGCCAGTGTGGATGTCAGCAGGCCCACCTTACTGACCACCTACCCCCATGCCCCAGCCCCCACGGGCAGTGCCAGCCTGGGGTCAGTGGCAGGGTCCTGCCCATCCCTGTTTACCTGAGTCGCGGCTTCTTAAAAGAAGCAGGAAGTCCTGGACCGCCCAGCTCCCCTGCCCAGAGGCCTCCCTGAGACTTGTGTCTGCTTTACCTTTGACCTGGGGCCTCGGCGGCTTTGAAGTCCAAGGTGCCGAGGTCTCCCTTTTATTATAGGCATGGAGGAGGGCCAAGGGGATTCCCCAGACTGCCAGAGGATGGCGGAGGGCACCCCTTTCAGAGGAGAGCAGAGGTGGGCAAATCTGAAGGACGCCTGGGCGGTGGAATTAGTGCTCATTCAGAGCTGGCGTCTGCTGTGTAATCCCCAAGACAGGACACCGTGCACCCCCTCTGAACAATGGGCTGGACAGAGGACCTCTCAGGCCAGCATGGGTCAGCGCTCCTCCCATGGCCAAGGCCAGAGCAGCCTGTAGCTGGGGGTCCATGTACTCAGGACCTTCTGAGTATCAGCCAGGGCTTGGGGTTCCCCGCCAAGGAGTGGTGGGTACATTGTTGTAATCACTGTTAGGGACTGAATGGGTAAGTTCTATCCAGTGGACCAGCACACTCAGGGACCCTTACGAACAGTGGACCCGAGCCTTCCCTGTCCTGTGCCCATTGTCACGGTCACGGTGTCCGTCCATCTCGTTGAGGGTCTTCCTCTCGCTCCCTGACCCTCCACCTTCTCTCAGCACGATGTCCTTTTCTAAGGACTGGCCCTCCTGACCGCATGCCCAGTGCATGGGTGGCTACGTCTCACCGTCCTTAGCTCTAAGGAGCGCCAGACGGGCTTCCTCCCAGGAGCACGTGTTTGTTCTTCCAATTCCACGGATTTTGGGGATTGAATTACGCTCTCCAAAATACGTGCTAAAATCCTCGCCCCACGCCGCTCCTGTCTCACCACTGCAGTCCCCACCCCACATTATTTTGAAGTAAATCCCAGGCTTTAGCACGGCATCCGTAATTTTAGTGACATTTAACAAATCACAATGTTGTTATGTGCCATTGAGTCGCTTGTGACTCAGAGCGACCCTGTGTGCAAGAGCCCTAAACCCCGCTCTATCCTGTGCCAGCCTCACTGTCTCTGACACACTCCCACCACCCCAATCACTGAATTGACCTGTCTCATCGAGGGTCTTCCTCTCTTGCTCTGTCCCTCCACCCTCCCAAACATGATGTCCCTCTCCGAGGACCAGTCCCCTCCTTGCAACATGCCCAAAGTATGTCAGACGAAGCCTCAGAATCCTTGACTCCAAGGAGCAGTCTGGTTTCACCTTCTCCAGGATGAACCTATTTGTTCTCCTAGCAGTCCATGGTATATTCAACATTCTTCTCCAGCACCACAGCTCAAAGGCATAATTCTCTTTCTATCATCCCTAGTCAATGTCCAGCTCTCTGACACATAACACACAATTGTGAAGACTATGGCCTGGATCAGGCACACCTTAGTCTCCAGCCTTGTGTCATTGCTCTTCAGTACTCTTGAGAGGTCCCTGACAGCTGACTTTCCCAATGCAATTCGTCTCTTGATTTCCTGGTTGCTGGTACCAAGAATGTTGGTTGTGGTACCAAGCAAACTAAAACTGTTAACAATCTCAATAGTTTTTCATATAGTCACTCAGACTTTTGTGTTTTATAACATCAACTATTTACTAATGGCAGTTCTGGTGGCTTAGTGGTAAGGAGTTTGTGCTGCCGGCCTAAGGGCAGGTAGTTCGAATTCACAAACTGCTCTGAGAGAGGATGGCTGGTCTCCTCCCAGGCCATTGACATCCTCCGAAGACCTGTTTGGGTCACCAGCAGTTGGTTCAGACTTGATGACACGTAGCAACAATGTAGTTAGTTAAGTACAATGTCTAAGCAACTCCTTGCAAAAATTAGTAATAATAATAATAATGCCCCAGGAATTGATGGGATACCAACTGACATGTTCCACCCAATTAATGCATCCCTGGATGTGCTCGCCACGCTGTGCCAAGCAACCTGGAAGACAGGTGCCTGGCCACCTGACTGGGAGAGATCCTTATTTATTCCCCATTTCACATACAAGCAAAAACTTGCTGAAGATTCTTTAAAATTATTGAAACAGCGCATCGCCAGAGAACTGCCAGAAATTCAAGCTGGATTTAGAAGAGGCCACGGTACCAGGGATATCACTGCTGATGTCAGCAGGATCCTGGCTGAAAGTAGACAATACCAAAAAAATGTCTATTTGCAAAAGCAATTGATCTTTTGGATCGTAACAAATTGTGACTAACATTCAAAAGAATGAAAATTCCAAAACATTCAATTATACTCATGAGAAACCTATACCTTAGAAGTTACTTTTGTCTTAACAGAGCAAAGGAATATTGCGTGGATTAAAATCTAGAAAGATGTGTGTCAGGGCTATTATGCCCTCTCTCCATATCTAGTCAATCTGTATGCTGAGCCAATTATTTGAGAACCTGGACTCTGAAGAGAAGAATGTGACATTAGGATTGAAGGAAGACCTGTCAACCTGCATTATGCAGATAACACAACCTTGCTTGCTGAAAGTGAGGAGGACTTTAAGTGCTTGCTGCAGAAGATTAAGGACAACAACCTTCAATAGGGATTGTTGTTGTTGTTGTGTGCCATCAAGTCACCTGAGACTCATAGTGGCATGATGTCCCTCTCTAAGGACTGATCCCTCCTTGCAACATGTCCAAAGTATATCAGACAAAGCTTCAGAATCCTTGCCTCCAAGGTGAAGCCTGGTTTAACCCTCTTCAGGATGAATCTGTTTGTTTTCTTAGCAGTCCATGGAATATTCAACACTCTTCTCCAACACCGCAGCTCAAAGCATCAGTTCTCCTTCTATCCTCCCTAGTCATTGTCCTATTCTCTGATGTTGATTTCAACTCCTAGTGACCCTGTGATCGCGGGTGGTGCAGAGCCTTGCCCAGGCCACACTGTCCACTGATCTCTGCCATGCAGTGCCCGTTGTTGTGGTCAGTGCATCAATCCATGCTGGGGGGCGGGGGGCTTCCTCTTCTTCTCTGACCCTCTACCCTTCCTGGCATAATGACGTCTTTTCTCAAGGACTGGCCCCTCCGAACATGCCCAAAGTATGCGAGACAGCGTCACACTGCCCTGTCCTCTGAGCGGCTGTGGTGGACTGCTGGGAGAGGGCAGTGCTGACCTTCCTCCAGGACGTATCTCCGCTCTTCTCTCAGTGCTCTTCCACATCACCGTGATTTAAAGACGTAAATTCTTTGAATGGATTAGAATTCATTGTCCAACTTCCAGATGCATACAGGGCAATTGAAAACACTGTGGCTTGGTCTCTCGCTCTCTCTCTCTCTCTCTTCCCCCCACATGCACTGACTTTGTTTTGGTGAGTGCCACCCCCATGGAGTCCATCATGTCTGAAACATCGAAGGCTGGCTGTCGCCTCTCTTCCAGGATATTGGTTCTGAGGAAAGCTGCCGGCT